ATTAACTTTGTTCAGAGAACTGTACGCCCCTGGGTTGTAAAGAACTCAAGTCACTGAACTGCCGTGGGCTGACTGCAATTGTGTCAACACGATTTATATGGTCAGTGGGTGAAGAACAGTTCAATCATACTGGTAAGGTCGATAGCGAGGCCGGCCAGTCACATGATATCTGATGAGCTGCGGTATGATTTTAGCTCTCATCATACTTCCCTCCTTTCCAAAGATGAAACCGAACGCATCACTGACGTCGCATGAGTTTGATTCTTGAGACTGATGATCAGGCCACTTATTAGAGCTCCAGTCCGAGTTGAGTGTCACTGGTCAGGTGATTAGGTGTTTTGATTTGGGTGCTGAAGTCTGCCGAACCTTTTTCATAATCCCGTGGTCCAGCAATAAATTTTTGGGTGTGTAATCAGAGGAATGTTCCGTTAAATATTGTGGCTCGGTCCTGAGTCTGAAGTGGTTGATATGTTTAGTCCATACGGAATGTCTCACTCTGAGTTTGTGTGACGGATGCATCTTGCTTTATGATCTCTCTGGGAATCCAGCTCAGCAATCTATTTCGAAAATTACTTACATAAACATGATCGCCTGTCTTACACTTCCTCGATGTGAAGTTAGTATTGTTAGCGGTGCGTGATTTTGCAATATCTTTCGCACTCGGAATCATGGTGTCGAGAACCAGCCGCATTAGTCGACCTAGAAACAGTTCGACCAGAGCCTTCTGTTCTGGGGTAGCTGGGTTGGGAGTGGAGCAGTAAGTGAGGAGAATTGCATTGATAAATTGTTGTAGTTTACCCTCCTCCTGTGATTTCATCAAACAACGTTGAAATGTGTCAAAGGATCGACCTACTTGACCGTTCGATTGCGGATGATACATTGGGGTACGAACACGGTGGATGATGTTTGACGCACAGAACATAGCGAATTTTGAAGATGTGGACTGTGGGTTGCTATCTAAAACCAGAACTTCCGACATACCTAGCAGGGCAAATAATCTTCTGAGGTTTATTATGATGGCAGGTGTAGTTATAGCACGCATCGGAATAATTTCAAGCTACTTAGAATATGCATCAGCAATGGCTGATATTTCTTAATTTCGACAGATGAGAAGTACACGAGACCATTTGAACTTTATTTACCGTTTTCATGGCAATATTCAAATTTGACCACAGGGCTCTTTCTGAATTTATGTGAAAATGTATTCCCGATTTTCATGACTGTGAAGCAATCTACGAAGTATATGCCTTCATTTTGGTAATAAATTGAACAGGTTGTAGTGAGAAAATTGTGTTTTGGAATTAGTCGCAGCGTGTGCTGTCATGATATTTTGTAAACTTTATAGAGACATTCCGGTACTATTTCTGTATTCCTCACAACGCTTGGATTCGCAAGAGTTCTGAGAGCACGAGGCAAAACCAAAATCCTCCTGTATATGCATTGTAACCTTTGCAAATGAAAGGAACATAGAAATTAAAACATTTTAAATAAAATAACAAGAAATACGAAAGCTAAATATCTATCCCTTCCCCTCAAACAAAAAAAGCGCATTGTTCTTTAGATGAGTACGATCCGGTGATCGAAGTTGTAGATCGCATACTCCAAAGTTATCATCAACTTACCTTGGCATTCGGGAGAACGATCATACAGAACGACTTGTCAAACCACCGATTGTGACAATTGCCCGTGAGACACGTTTTGCCCAAATAAGACAAATAATCTGGACTATCCGGGTCCGGGAAATTCGCTTCATCATCCAGCGCGACAAAGAATGCGGCCTATCAGAACGGGATAGAACACAAACTGGTATTAGACGATGTAGTTTGGTAAGTGGTTGTTTAAAACAGTAAGGTAGGTGATGCACACAACGTGCGATTATATTACAGAAATATCATGTATGCGTAACAAGATAACAGGATCAAAGTTCGCTCGGATGTCACATACATATTTATAGCTAAGAGTGCAGGGTACTGCGACGAGTTTATATGCGTCGGAATGAGAGTTTTGCTTTGTTCCATGAAGTGCGTGTATGGGATTTTCTGTATTGTAAGGGTCTCGTGCTGTAGTTAGTGGTTCAAAGCTATGAAACTGCGGTGTTTGGTTGGTAGGAATGGGGGACTTTTTATTCGTTCTAAAGTGCATTATCCGTCTACGAAGTGGAGTTATTCAGATATAAAGGAATTGGCGTTTTTGACATCGAGAATGATCACCAAGAAATGCATTCACACGGTCTATCTAATGATCAACCAATACCAATAAATTGGATCAATTTTACCATCATCTTTCTGTTTTTCATAGTTAGATGCTGAAATGTGAAACCGTTTTCTATATAGAACATATCTTATAGATCACCGCGAAGGGATAGAGACACTGCACATATGTCTGATTGTTGCTAACAATTCCGTAATACCTAGTGATATCGTAGTATTGAGGCTGCTGTGTTGTGAGAGACAATATTCAGCACCACGGTGTCCGAACAGACTACATTGCATGCAAAAATAACTAAGCCACGAGGGCGATGTGGCCGGCAGCCGAAATCCAAAGCACAAAGGTCAATATCAGAAGTGAATTTCGAATACGAAAGTCCCTTATGCCTGTCGGAAAGAATCTATGCTGAGTAGAAACAACAAATTTTATTCAATCGAAATATTCCCTGGAGGATAAAGAACGATAAACTCATTGTGTAGGTGAGACCCATGTCCCGAAAGATTAGCATAAAATTGCATGTACTGGGTGAGATAGTATCTTGCGATCAAGAACTCCACAATGTTTGACCTGTGCATTACAAAGCCTACGTAAACAAACGTTTAATGGGATTACGAAGGCGTCACTTGCTCAAAGTCCTTCTCAGCAGCCCCCTTTACAATTGACTTGTCACTGCTGCACGGGAAGCAACAACAGCAGAGCAATTGGAGCGAACAGTGTGTGTGTGTGTCTGATTGTATGTGACAAAGGGATATTTCCCCAGTTGTTCTCCGGAAAGTACATGAACCATGAATTCTCGATGGAATTTCCAGAACACGATCACGAGGGGTGGGATAAATATATTCAAACATGTAAATACATGTTTATGACGAATATTCATAAACATGTGAGAGATTATGGGAAAATACTTTGTGAATTGCCTGCAGATGACACGTTTCCTGATAGCTCAGTGTCTACCAGAGACTTCAAAAAGTTCGCCGGAATAGGGTCAGAACGATTATTGAGGTAAACTAAGAATAAACAGAGATTACTGCTCTTTCCAGTCCCTGTAGTTGGACGTTTTTGATGACCTTCGTTTCTTGAATTTTTCTGAAGAAAGCTTTCTTGACCAAAGTAATCAAAGTATCAAGGAAAGGGAAGAATTGCTTACTCTCGCATTAGGCTTACAGTGTCCATTCGACTCGGTCGTTACTTTTTAGCACTTGGACCCCTGATCACTTCAGATCTGGTCTTTCCATCGCAGGCTCCCTGTGGATTAGATTTTCGCGATTCTATTACACAAGGCTCACCTACCACAATGAAACTTCTATCCCTCAAACTATGAGCTAATCAAATTCTAGTGGATTATATTACTGCTAGAAGCCCCTTCATCACAGCAGAAATCAACACTGTATTGTTCGACAGCTCTAACGAAACAGTTCCGCTGAACTTTATGTGATACCAGCATGATTAGAATTTCCGACTAAATCACAAATGCACAAGGTCTTCTGAGCGGGCGTGACGGGTTTAGTCCTTATTCAAGCTCATGGTACAAGCTCCTTGTTTAACCCATATTGGTGAATCTCACCCATCGAGGGTTCAGTGATACGCTGCTCCCCCCCTCCCCCCGCACCGCATCCTGTCAGCTTCTTGCACTTCACTCATCATAAAATTGTGTGAATTTGCTAAAATGAGGAATGAACGGCTGCTTCATCCTTGCTCGAACTCGTCAGGGGTGTGTGCATTTTGTGTCCCTAAATGAACTCGAATGGCACAAATTCGGAAAGGGGAGCCAACCATCCTGAGCTATCGGGACTGGACACTATCCGTGACCAACAAAACCGGTTCACCCATAATTATATATATATATATATAACTTACTTCTAGTTTCACCCGGTCCCATGTACTCGTCCTGCCAACAGGGCCCCAAGCAGTTGTTAGACATATCTGGTTTATTACGTTCATTAAGCTATGCATACTATAACCACAAGGTGAAAAACTCATGACAATGGCGTGGTACACAAAGAAGTACAGAACAATCGCCGGGCACATGGCCAAAACAAGACGGAATGGAAACCAAAACAGCGATACCGATCTATCCCCGAAATAAAAACAAAAACACACGCAATGGTCACTTTCAGTACGATGACCTATCGAATGTATAATTCCAATAATAAGCATTGTCTGGGAATTTACAAATGGTCAAAATACTGTAAAATGGAAACAACTCGGATTGTTACAATACAAATAAATATAAATGGTTACGTTCTAGCCACAGCACTTGCCAAAGGCGCACTGAGTGAAACAAAACGAAATCTTTTGACAGATTGCTACTGATATATGTGATATATGTGATGTAATGCATGCTCCAGTGGTTCCTTCAACGTCGAAGCCCCTTGATTTTTTTGTGTTTTGTTTGCTCTGAATTATTTGCATGCCTAACATTCTATTTCGCATGGTTGCCGAGCTTGGCAATTTGTTTGTAAACGTTTCATCACCAATCGAGGTGACATTGTCCAGTACTTAAGTGATATCAATCTTCTGGTTGTACCCGATCGTTTATATGTGTTCGTCTCCATTGACTATTTTTGCCCTTGTTCTCACGGTATTCGACTCGGTTCACCATTGAACTGATGAATACTATATCGGCCAAAATACAAGAAAAGGATCCAGGAATATCAAACGGGTATTCAGGGACATTATCCCCTTTCGTTGATTTCCCTCCAGGAAGATCAAGAAGATGAATAATTCGACTTTCACTGGGTGTAAATCATCAACCAAGCATGCAAGAGAATTTATCGAAGCTTGGCACGATACAATCATCTCAATAAACAGACACATTGAACTGGATCACCAGTACATAACAGTGAAACTCAAGGATCAGTTGACGCAACAAAAAGTCGCGTCGTGACCTGAGAACGGACAAAGATCGCAATCAAGTTGGTAGAACAACTTCCCACCCTCACACCCTAGCACCAGTTCAACGGCAAGCCGGGTCAAAATTAGTGAGAACAAGGAAAAAACTAATCGTGGAGAAGAACACATATATAAACGAACGGATACAAGCAGAAAACTACTACTTCACAAGCACCGATGATGTCACCTCAGCTGGCGATGAAGCTTTTGCAAACAAATTGCCAAGCTCGGCGAACAGGCAAAATGGAATTCAGTTCACCCCAGCAGAGGGAGAACCGATTTTCAATAATTTTTCACATGCCTGACATGGTATGTTTATCTGTGTAAATAAGATGATGAGTACTGCGCGTCTTTCAAACTGCACTAAATGCTTTCAACCTCAAAATATAAATCAACTCCAGGAGGAAGGAGACTTGGTTTACCTTTTCGATTGTATCCAACGAGACACGATTTGTGCCTGTGGTAAAGTGAGTTGATCGGGCCACAGCCCACAAATCCCTCGGTCCCGCTGTCAATGCGGCCAAATTTTCTTCTCCCGGATAGGGTTCAGCCGCTACCGAGTGAACTATATGGTCAAACTGACTGGAATAGGGAAATAGAGGTGGCGGGGAGGTAAAGGTGTATGTTTTGTCATATTCTAAAACTAGGAACCGTTGATCATAACCTCAATAAAATATCTCCTCATGATCTGGTAACCACGGGTCACTGAAAACCCATTGATGAATTGGGCAGTGGTTTTAAGCGGTCCTGGAAGAAATTTATCCAGGTTACATATTTGCCTGAATCTCCGGGATCAAAACACTGATAGGAGTGCTCTGGATACTTGTATTTCCTGAAACTTTCCTCCAAAACGCCCTTTTGTACCAACATTCATTTACCTCAATTTAAAGCGATAGCATCTGACAATTTCTACTCGTCACTGTCGTTCAATGCATCAGCCTCGCATAGACGGGTAACATTTTTCAGCAACGGCTATCTCTGGGGGGACCTCAGTGAATTCACTCAAGATGCCCCACTTATCAGTGCTAACCGCAAGCAAAAAATAGTTTCTAGTATCTTGTTAAAAAGCACCTTAGAATATAGATCAAACCTCTGGGTATAAGTTCGCATAATACAGCATCTAAACTGAATTTTCATGAAATCATTGCAAACGCTTTTCCGTCTATGTACTTGGAGACGAACATCCACAATTACCAGTCAAATTACCAGCTGAAATTTGATCACTTGTTGCCCAGATCTTGCTGACCTTGCCATTGACCGCTCATATTACCGTGACTGAGCATTGGTTGAGCATGTTGGACTATAACCAGGCTCGTTTATCGGTTGGCGAGTACTACACTGAGCGTTTTGCAATATTAGATCAAACTGTCCTATGCGAATCACCGCCGGGAATCATTCTTCGAAGTAGTCCCAGATATAAACGCATTGGGCTTGTCCAAATGACAGCCACTGATGTATTTATCCAAACAACTTGCGAAGAAAGCTTCATATTGGTTCACAGTTGATTCGTCTGTATTTGGGTGCTTCAGCAGAGCATACCCTTTCCGGCGGTCCCAATCAGAACTCCGCCCGTTGGTAAAAGCTTCGCGGGTGACGGTGAGCAGCTTGGGGACAGGACTGCAATAACTGAGGGATTTCGCTCGTTGGTTCAGTCTATGCAAAACCTCGGATACCCGGAGCATAGGGTTGTGGTCTCTGCTGGTACATTTACAGTATCTTATTTATGAACAGATTTTTATGGGATACGATGCGAATTCATTTGGTTTTGCAAAGGAAGTTTAACAGCAACTGATAGGGCGAAGTGGGAGCGGGTTACAGTCTATCTATCTATCTATCTATCTATCTATCTATCTATCTATCTATCTATCTATCTATCTATCTATCTATCTATCTATCTATCTATC